TGTTTGTATACAAAATTCCCCATTGGAATAAGACCACTCTGTTTGTATTTAGAAACTCTCCCTTAGGATGACCACTTTTTTGTGTATGAAAATTCCCCCTTAGGATGACCATCGTGTTTGTATACAAAATTTCCTATTGGAATATGACCACCCTGTTTGTATTTAGAAACTCTCCCTTAGGATGTCCACCTTTTTTGTGTATGAAAATTCCACCTTTAGATGACCACACTGTTTGTATACAGAATTCCTTATTCCCTCTTTAAAAATGACCCCCGTTTGTTTACAAAATCCCCCCCTTAGAATGACCACCGTGTTCGTTAACAAAACTGCCCCTCTTAGAATGACCACCCTGTGTCTATCAAATTCCTCACAAGGATGACCACCCTGTGCGTGCATGTGAACTCCCCTACACGGGTTTGGGATGGGGGGCAGAATTTTCAAGATAACAGAACTCCAACTTCCAGCATTTAAACAAGGCCAAGGCAAGTCCGCACATGAAAAGCAGATTGCCCCAGATAGATGTATTTCCTATTTTTCCTTTTGGTCATCGTGTATCAAAACCCCATGCACTTTCACTGTAATACAATGTACGTATAATGCTGTTTGGTTTACAATTAAAAATATAAAAGCCTCAAGCAGAACTCCCTTCTGCTGGTGGGGGTGGGTTGCATCCACACCCCCAGCCTACATCCCTGCTACAGGATGAACACTTCGTTTATACTTTATAAAAACTCCCAAATGAGGCATGTATTCCCATGCTGTTCCTAGATCCTCCCATCATGACCTCTCTGTTCCTATGAATTAAAGCCTGAAATTTTGGCTTAAACAAACGATTTGTTGCACTTCTGACTTGTACCAAATTCACTGCGGGCAACACTGATCAATGAAAATTCTGTTCAGTCCGAAGTTTTTTTAGTAGCACGTACAGTCCAAATGACAACAACACTGAAAAAATAGATGACCACCAACTGTTAAACAGTATTTTCAGTATCTGACTCTCTTTTTTTATATCCAAACATTCACAGTTAACGTGGTCTTATTCTGTGTACACACAATTTACTCATGCTTTGCTACCTCAGCAACGAGCAAGCCAGAGCAGAGAGCAGAACCAAAATAAAGTCTTTATTTCAAGTCATGGTCCTGATATTACCATGGAAGAAATGACTGTAGTCATGATGTTATAATGCCATTGTTGGGGAATATGGAGGCAATTCGGGGGCAATGTACATGTACACTGTATATAAGCTCAGATGCTGAACTCTGTACACATGGCTATCGCACGTGAGATTTATGTGGTAAATAAGCCTTTTGCAAGTTAAACTTGAATAAAATCTGGTACACTGAGTTCTTTAAATTCACATGAACATAACAATTGGAATTCTCCATACTAAAACCACTGCTGCTATACCTCGTGAGTTATGTTCACGTGAATTTAAAGAACTGTGTGTACCAAATTTTATTCAAATTTAACTCGCAAGTGGCTTATTGTTACTACTTGTAGATTAACCAATGGTAAAGTACACTGTTTGCAGGAGTTTTGTGAGAAAAATTATACAAATATTTAAAATCAGTGCTGCACACAAAATACTGCCTCCAGCAGGCTCTTCTTTCGCTTGGCTTAATTTCTACTAAATCACGAAATCATCACTAATTGTAGAAAAAAGATTTGTAAATACTTTTTGAAAGAATATGGCAGTCATGTTGGATTTTTTTCCCAAGATTTTGTCAAGCCTGATTTCCACATAGAGCAAGACAATAAGTCTGTGCTAATGATAGACTGAGAATTAGCAAATCTGAGATGGAGTCACCAATTATATCTGCATTAAGTTTGGGTAAATATACTATTTCTTAAGTTTGACAGGAAAATTGGCAGCCACATTGGACTATGTTGAAAATGTGTATTTTTGACTTGATTTTGTGGGACACACCACTTCTTTTTAAAAAGAAATGTCCTGGATTTCTAAAGAGCACAGCATGTACAATAGGGTAAACTCAGTTTCAGGTTTTGGAGCCGTCTATGATTTATCATTTAAATCAGATTGACATATAATTGCAAAACCTAGGTAACTCTGTGAATCAGTAACTGGTAGAAATTGAAAAACAAAATGATTTTTCAGCCTTTTTAAAAGAATGCAAAATATCGATTTAAAAAGTGATTTGCCACGAGATCATTTGATATAAATCATGTGATTTTAAGCATGTGATTTACATGTAACTTGGGTGGTTTAAGAGCAAACTTATCAACTCAGCACAACTTCAAGTCTTAGACAATGGCAATCCTTTCTGCATCTCTCTTTTCTGCAGCCATTCTCCGTGCTTTTGATCTCTCATTGAATACTTTCGTTTTCACAAGAAGTTTCTTCTCTTTCCAAGTTCCTCTGAAGTCACTTAGCACATGTGGAAACTTCTTGAGGAAATGCGCTATCTGCTTCGAACCTAGTGAATGAAAATTAAGTAAAGTACTTGGCTACTTCTGTGAAATGCAACTTAAAAACAGTCACTGCAGTTGTTGGGTCTAATTACCAACTGAGTTAAATCAAACTTGGAATCTGTCATATTTCCTTGTTATCTCTTTCATTCTGGTTTTTGTTCTTCACCCCACTTTAAAAGCTTGTTCAAATGAGAGTAAGTGCAAACTTTTGATGTGCACCAGGAGCAAATCCAGGGGGCATGTCCCCTTGTCAACCCCTCCCCAAATAAATGAATATTAAAAAAGAAGAAAACAGAGGGAGGGAGAAGGAAAAAGAGGGTCCATACTGCCTGAAATTGTACCACAGTGCGCCAAGAACTGAATTGTTGATTTTTTTTATTTAAGAAAAAAATTAAAAATCTGACTTTTTTATTCGAATGAGTTTTTGTAGTTTTATAAAACTGGAGACAAGTTGGCTCAATTAAGCAAGCAAATTAGCTGCACATGTAATAGTTTTCTTTTATTTATTTATATTGTTACAAAATTTTTTAAAAATGGATTTGAATTCAAGAATTTAAATCAAGTAATTTGATTAAATCACAAACCACGTCTTAGCCTTGGTGAAATGTATGGAGTATAGCACCTAGCAGTGCATGTACCTGCAGAGAAAACACTTCCTTCAGAGACAAGTACATGTACCAAGGATAAAGTGCATACCAGGTTTTTAAACTGAAATTCTAGTTTGGGCAGAGTCCAACAAAATTTCTTACTAGGGTACTTATACATGCATCAAGTGACTAATGATGAGAAACCTACCATGAACAACAGGTACATGTACATGTATTTATTTTACATGCTATGTAGGTACGAAATGCTTGCTCTATGTGGCAAAAAGCAGTCTGGTTTTGTTCCTACTTTTTTCTATTTTTCGATCCAGCTCCACAGAGCAATGACTTTGACTTGATTAAAAATCATTTTATTAGGGGCATTTATTAAGGATTATTTAGTGGTTTTAGTTACACTGCAGGACTAAAATTTCTAATCTCAATAAAATCCATGTGTGCCTGTACATGTATATACATGTAAAAGGTAGATGTACATGTACACTGTACACTGATACTTTACCATGTCAAACTCAAATGAAGTAAAATTAAATCATTATAAATCCTTTGCATCAAATTCACTTACTGAATACAAAAAACTGAAATAAATCAAATCAAGTGGGTTGAATTGAACAAAAAGTCTTGCCAACCCAGATTTTGTGTAACAGATGTGCATTCAAACTTCTTTAATACCAGGAACTGGAAGGCTTGCAGAGGGGGTATTCGTTGAATTAAACTGCAAAACCGGCAAAAATTTCCAATCAGTATAAAGGAATTCAAAAATTGAAACATGTTTGCCCTTTTCCCCCAAAAATTAAATATGTTGATTCAAATCAATGATTTTTTCAAAAGAAAATCATTTGATTTAAACTGTGATTTAAATTGGTTATTTGAATTACGATGATTTAAATCAGCAAACCCTAGTCAAGAAACCCCACCCTAAAATTCCTCATTGAGCAGGCCCAGTGGCCCCATGCTTTGTGTGGCTTTGTGCCACACTTGCAGGCATTTACCATTACTACTACAATTCATGACCCCTCCTTTGGATAATCCTGGATCCGCCCCTATGTACTGACCATCATATGAAGTAAAGAATGTCATCATGGTGATATCATCATGGATAACATATGACATACAACGAACGTGTGGTTTTCTTACCTGGCAGAGGTCCCTTTGCCCCACTAAATGTAGTATCCATTATATATGACTTGAATTCCTGTTGAACATAGGCAAAATCCTTCTGATTCCACTGGAAGTAGGTTCTTGCTGTAAAAACAAATGAATACTGTTCTGGAATCAGCCATCAGAAGTTCAGCATGTATTTTAATAGGGCCACTGTTTTTCATGCAGTTTCAAATTTACTGCCAACAGAGAAGTTAAGTAACTCTAACCACTAATTTTTTTAGTGACCCAGTTTATTGGAATAAACGACAGATTGTTTTCTGAGGCTTTTTATAGCCCTGTATTTAGGGTACTGGTAGCTACATGTAGCTCTTAGGCCAGTTGGATGACCCAAATTAAAAACTTAAAACAACAAAGAGAAACAATCTACCTTTCTCACTTTGATCATGAGAGAAATGCAGGTGACTGCCCTTGCGATGTTGATCTACTTTGGGACAATGCTTGTGAGGTGTCACTTCTACCAAGAATAAAATAGTGCATCAAAAATGCTTTATATTGTTCACTGATGTTACTATGCCGCAAAACATCAAGCTAAAAGTAATCTGTCTTCCATCAAAAGTGCCAAACATGTACCTCTGGATTTTGAAGGGGAGGAAGTCTGACACTGTGCCTTAAGTTCCCTTATTAGCTTCAGAAGACGTGCCTTCCGAGGGGTCATTTCTGTAAAGGATAAATCGGCACAATCATGAATAAATATTTTCTGCTGTATGCAGATATACTTTTAGACAAACTTCCAGTGAAAAATAGTTTCCATAATATGATTTACACATATACCTTCCGAGCTCCCAGGGGAGGAAGTCAGGTAATGTCCCTTTCGACGACAACACTTCTGAGGGGTTTCTTCTAAAGAATAAATCAGTGAGATCATGGCTTAATGGTTTCCACTGTATACAGATCTACCTTAAAGGAAACTTCCGATGAAAGACTTTTTCCCTTATAAAATTCACACGTATACCTTTGGAGCGCTCAGGAGAAGAAGTCGGGGGATGCTCCTTGCAACGGCGCTTCCGAGGGGTCAATTCTAAAGAATAAATCAGCAACATCATGGGGTTAATGTTACCACTGTATACAGATCTACCTTTAAACAAACTTTAATGAAAGACTATTTTCCCTCATATAATTCACATGTATACCTTTGAAGTGCTCAGGAGAAGAAGTTGGGGGATGCTCCTTGCAACGGCGCTTCCGACGGGCCAATTCTAAAGAATACATCAGCGAAATTATGGGTTAATGTTTTCACTGTATACATGTCTACATGTACCTTTAAACAAACTTCCGATACAGACTATTTTTTCCTTATATAATTCACACGTATACCTTTGGAGGGCTCAGGAGAAGTCGTCGGGGGATGCTCCTTGCAAGGGCGCTTCCGAGGGGTCAATTCTAAAGAATAAATCAGCGAGATCATACATGTAGGTTAATGTTTCCACTGTATACACATCTACATTTGCGTTTAAACAAACTTTGGATGAAAGACTATTTTCCCTTATATAATTCACACGTATACCTTTGGAGCTCCCAGGGGAGGAAGCCAGGGGATGCTCCTTGCGACAACGCTTCCGAGTGGTCAATTCTAAAAAATAAATCAGTGAGATCATGGGTTAATGTTTTCCACTGGATACACATCTACCTTTAATTAAACTTCCAATGAAAGTGTACTTTCCATTACATGATTCACACGTATACATGTACCTTTGGAGCTCTCAGGAAAGGAAGCCAGGGGATGCTCCTTGCGACGACGCTTCTGAGGGGTCAATTCTGTATAATTGAAATGAGCACAATCATGGGTAAATGCGTTACAATGTACATATATGCTCAACCTTGAAATTAATTTCCAGTGCAACATTAGTTTCCATTATATGATTCACATGTATACCTTTTGAGCTCTCAGGGGAGGAAGCCAGGGGATGCTTGTGACTGCGCTTCCGAGGAGTCACTTCTGTAAAGAATAAATCAGCACAATCTTGGGGTTGTGTTTGCCCCCGTATACAGATTTACCTTCAACAAACTTTTCATGAAAAATTAGTTTCCATTATAATATGATTCTCACATATACCTTTTAATCTCTCAGGGGAGGAAGTTAGGTGCTCCTTGGCATGGCGACTGCATTTCTGCGGAATCACTCCTGTAAGGAATTAAATCAACACAGTCATGGGTAAATATTTTCCACTGTACATATGATCGAGCTTAAAATACACATCCAGTGAAAGATTATTTCCATTCAAGTCACTTGTATACCTTTTGATCTCTGAGGGAAGGAAGTCGGGTGACGCTCCTTGCGGCGCTTCCAAGGGGTCACTTCTGTAAAGAATAAAAACAACACATTCATGAATATATAGAGATCTACCTTGAAAAACTTCCAGTGAGATTATGATTCACACATATACTTTCTGATCTGTCAGGGGAAGAGTTCAGGGGATACTCCTTATGATGGCACTCCTGAGGAGTCAATTCTGTGAAGAAAGTTTGGGTGAAGGTTTTCCACTCTATACAGATCTACCTTGAAACAAACTTCCGGGGAAAAAATGTTTTCCATTATATGATTCACACGCATACCATCTGATCTCCCAGGACAGGAAGTCAGGGGATACTCCTTCAAGTTGTGACCACGGTTCTTCTGACGTGTTACTTCTGAAGAATAATGATCAGCACGATCATGATGGGTTAATGCTTTCCATGCGAGTCTTAGATCGAACAGAGACTTTGAAGACTAATGCAAGAGAGTATTCAAACACGTAGGAAGATGATTCTACGGGGGGGGGGATTCCCAGAACACTCTCTGTGTGGGGAGTCCAATGCATGTGATTGTGAAAGCATAGCGTGAAACCTGTATGGTGTGGGTCCGCAAATTTTGGTTTTGTGCTCTAGGTGTAGTGCATGATACCTAGGCCTCACTAGACGTTTTTTTGAGCAATCAATATTTTGAAATTTCAGCATTTCAAATCCATGTTTGACAGTTTAAATAATATAAGTTAATTGTAAGATCTGATGTAAAAATTAAATTTTCAAAAAATGTCGTATCTTAAACTATGAATTGTGAAGGTGATGTTTTGTAACTTGAACTCGTAACAGGAAAAGTGTCTCACAGAAACATTAAGCATTACAAAATTAAAAAAAAACAAATCTTGCCAAAGGAAATGGTCGTCACCTTAAAAAAGGTATTGGAAAGTCTAACTCATTGGTGGAGTTTTCCTTTTAAGAAAGAAACAAATTCTTACGTTTTGTGCACAAACCAGCTGCGATGTTAAAGCTCTGCCTTAGATGACATCACAAACTTGATGACATGGACGAGCTTTAAATCTTTAAGTTTAAAATAGTAGGGGGATATGTTTCAGTAAAACTTTTATTATACTTAAGGAAACCCCCCAAAATGAGTGGTCATAGTGAACACAATCTTACTTTGCCTCAACTATTAAGACATTCAAAGAAAGAAGCTTGTGGATAGTTCAATTTTTGGATAAGAAGTGATGGCTCTATCCCTTTCAGAGACGCTGTCTCTTATAGACTAATTTTCGGAATAAACTTTGGGTGATTTTGAACAACCACGTTCATTCAAGGGTGTGTCATTGTGGGATTTACTTCTACATGGAGACTGTAGTGGAGCCTCGGTTGGGTAGAAATAATAGGAAGACATTAAAATAATGTAGACAAGGGGACCAGCTGCATCCGAATCTATTGTAGAGCTAGGTCTGTGGCTTCGCTGAAATAGCAGAGACACAGAGATAATAGACCTAGCCTATGTCCATGGTATTAGTCATAATTAAGCAGTTACTAGAACTAAATGATGAAAATATTAATCATCTATGAAATTTCGGGTAAATAGCTATTATATATGTATGAATATTGATAGACACAGTAATAATAGCCATATGGCAAAGCAAAATGGGGAATCAAGGGATATTTCAGAGACTACATGACCACATCTAAATTCCCATTTAGACAGGTCAGACAAGCAGGCTTTCCCAAAGCTCAGTACATCTTGCATGCTATAATGACACATTCAGCCATGGCCATTTTAGTAATAGTATCCAAATATTTCCTTTGTCAATGGTCTTTTAGGAGCACCATACATATTTGTGAACTAGTGCATGTGCATGTGTAGGCCTTTTGTGACATGGCAAGCTGAGTAGGCCTACAGGCATGATACATACAAATCATCTTGGTAAGTGTTAATTTCATGCATTGTAATTCCCACGATATTCAGAAATTTGTCGTTGTAATCACAGCTTAAATAACACTAGGCCTGATGTAAAATGCTCAGCAGTTGATGTTCCTGTGCTTGCTCATAATTGCTGCACACAATAGCCATAGTCTATTGGTTCAAACATGGCAAAAGGGCTTTCTTGTAAGCAACACTGCCCACACTGTTTTTTCATTGGTAGAAACACATTTGGAGAAACTGGACAGAACAAATATTTGAGGGTAAAATGAGGAGGGTCCCTTCACTGTGGAGGTGATCAAATACATGTAAAAATATGCTGAAATAACAAGAAATACTGTATGCCATGTACATGACGTATGCAGCAGTTACTGGATAGATATACCTGCATGTGTGTGCTTTTAACTGGTTCATTGCTGTTAATGGAATTGTGAAATGCAACTTTGCAACAGCGAAAAGGAGATAAAGCAAGAATGTACTGATGCAGAAGCAAGTGGGAGAGGTTTGGCACATGTTTGGGAGATATATATATTTCTCTCAGAAAGAAAGGAGACCAGGCATACAACTTGGACTTTGACAAAAAAGGAGGAATTTCCAATTTCTACCTTTGTACAATATGGTTTTCAATTTCCCAGCCATGACATGAATGTGAAGTGAAACATCAGGAAACCAGCCTAGATAAAGTTGCATATTGCCTGATAGACCCCAAAAACCGTTTTAAACAAAAGAAAAGTCTTTCTGTTTTACAGCATTTTAAAAAAATTAAAATTCTTAATTAAAATTCCCCGCCATCCGCGTCATGTACAATATCATGATATAATATTATGTGATGCCACAGACAGACATGCATGAGCTCAATTAAGTCATTATTAAACAATATCACAGAGTAACTCAAAGCGAGATGAGAGCACTGGAAAGAGATGACAATATAAAAGACGTTCTGTGTAAATGGCACCTACATGTGAACACGTACCATGTGTGTATAATCCTTCTCCAGGCCACAGAGATCAAACCACACTGAGAGTTCAAGCGAGCCCTGGCCCAGTCAGTGTAATTGCAGCAACAATCCGAACAGCGCTAGCATGAGGATCGAACATGCACATGTACGTCATGTACATCACCATAACTTAAGGGCTGTATCCCCCTCAAGGTCAGCATGGGAACTTTTCAGAGGAAGATCGCATCAATTTTGCAAAAGTCTCCAAGTCCTGATGAAGTGGCAAAGTTACACCACCACCCCTACGATGTACATGTAGCAAGCTTCAATGATACAGGTACAATGTACACTGATGATTGAGAGTTGAAAAGATTTACTTAAACATCGATCCTCATCAGCACAGAAGTTAACAACTCTCGAAAGTGCTACATGTGCTATAGTTGTACCTGAAATGCCGGTAACAAATCCAAGCCTGGATTGATCAGCGCTGTATCAGTAGATGTGGGAACACTTGAAGATCTCACATACAGCTGTATGACTGCTCATACAGCTATAGACATGCATGCATGCCATTCTACAAATTTTGTCACTGTCTGCAGAGACAATGTGGAGCACCAACACAGAAATGACCCTACCTGTATATAAAAAAGTTTTCAAATTCCTGTATCATGTATGCCATTCCCAGAGGATATGCACGTACACTGCTCATCACAAATGCAAGAGCCTTGGGCTATACCCAACATCATGGAATCTACGGACAAACAGTAGCCTGGTAATCTGCAAATTTCTTGTCATGCTGTAAAAGCTGGCTGCCATTTTATAATTTTGGGTGCTGCAATCACACTTGGCCTTATTTCACATGTTTAACTATTGTACCTCATCTTGTAAAGCCTTGTGATTGTGCAATCTTGAAGTGGAAAGCAATGTTGTATGTTGTATCACGGATCATTTACCCAGGAATATGCAACCGCGAGCGGCCCCAGTGCAAACACATGTGCGACCTTGGTTCCATGCTTGTTACGGATTGTTTTTACCCCCGCAGGCCGCTCTTGACTTTCTTGAAAAAGCTCGCGACCACATGACACGCGTTGCAGCATGCAGCATGTACAGTGCAGCCGTGGTTATGCCGAGACGACGTGCCGACGCGGTGCTTAAATGTATTCGCTTTGACGAATAAATCTTCTTCATTTATCGATTTCAAGGAGAAATGAAGTTTTAATGAGAAAAATTCCCCAATTTTGTGGTACACTTTTCTCAGAATGTATCTAGATGAAATATATTGAGCAGCATATTTTTAGAAAGGGTGTGCCCTGACTTAAAATATTACAAGAAAACCAAGTGGTAGACAGGAATATATGTTTCATTATTAGAGATAATCCAATTGAATTTCTGCTTTGATATTGTGCCGGCCGTAACACGCACTGAACCAGCTCTGAGCTTAAGTTGCACATCCCTGGGTAAATGGTCTGTGGTTGGATGAATATGTACTGTTGTGTGCACATCAGGCCCCTATCGATAAGTGCTACAAGTCTGTATACCATTGTCAGGCTATCCTGAAATTTAGGCAGTCCCAATATTAATGTTGATTTAATAAACAAGATCAAAACATATATCCCAAACTGGCCAATAAACAAAAAATCATGCACGCATACCTGGTACTTTTCACATCTTGGCTTTCAGGGCAATTAAGATTGGCTCCAGCAAATTAAAATTTATGTTCAGCATTACTCTTGGTGAACTGGAGCCTGTTTTATTTTAGGCAAAAACGTCAAAGGTATATATATCCCCTTTTATCCAAATGTGGCTTCTGCATGTCTTTGGGAAAGCCTATTACTCAATATAGCATGAGAGCTCAAGGGTAAGGTCACAATTTGATTTTTTTAGTTTCAGTACGTTCACTAGAATGCTTAATTCCTTCAGGAAGTTAATGTACATTTATTTGGATTATTGAGGCATAAGGACTATATTTTATAGAGCACTGCTGGTTAATTACTGTGAGAACAATGACCGTACATGTACATGGAGGTGTGCTGCTACAAATGTACATGTTGCAAGGCAATTATGTAACATCAACCAAAAGTTATAGGCAGAGGTATTTGAAATTTTACCAATTGAAAATGAACTGGATTTAAACACTGGGTCGGAGTTACAGCAGTGTAGTACATTCTAACTTTATTATCACTTGAAACAATTTAAGATGCTGCTCATGTACTCAGTGAACCATTCAGTAAGACAATCTGTTCATGTACCAGGAGTACATGTACACTAGTTAGATTCAACACTTACCCTGTGTGCCAGCACAAGTAGATGTGTGTGGAGCTCCATCTATATCCAAGAGGTATCGTCCAACTTTAGTGATCTCTTTTACAGCCAATGGACACTGATATATATGGGCATTAATCTCCGACGAATGCCCCATGTGGCGATAGAAAATTTCACGATCCCGCTCAGGAATGTCCAACAGGGCATACAGTGTTGAAGCTCTATGTCGACATCTGGTTGCAGTCACTTTTTCAGGATCCTTAAGATTTGGGATCATCTTTGTCACTTTCTTCAGCTCTGCCCAGCCATTGACATGCTCTAGGGATCTTTGGGTATAGGGGAACACATACTTGTTGTCATCTGACACTCCCACAGCATGCCGCATCTTCATTAGTTGCTTGATTGGTTGCACAGTGTCAGGTGGTATTAGGACAGGTACAAGTTTTCGAGAGCCCTTGCCCCTCTGGTATGCAAGCTTGAAAGAACTGAGGAGATATTTTTCCATTGGATCATCGATGGCTTCAACAAGATTTGGATCGACCCATCTCTGATCTGCCGCATCTTCCCACTCTGTGATTTTAAGCCTGCATGGCTCACCACCTCTCCTTGCATTGAAAACTGTGAGCCGACTTACAATCAGTGCTCTTAGTTTTCTGAAGATCTTGCAATTTGACGGATGCTGTCCCCGAACAATTTCCTGCAGGGAATTGATGGTAAATTCTCGTAGTGTAGTTATGTCTTCTTCAAAAGGCATTTGTTGAGGCTTGCGCAATACAGCCTGGCGCTTGCTTTCAATAATGTACGAGCTTCTGCTGAACAAGTACTCCCAATTCAAATACAGAACAGAGAGGAATCTGTCAATCTCCTCAGCTGCCTTCATGTCATCTTTTAAGATGTACACTGCCTTCATCACTTTGGCACCTTTTTTGAGCAAGTAACCAAGGCTTATCTTCAATCCTGCCTTTACTCCATCATCAGGTTTTTCTGTAAGAGTGTCCAAGGTCTGTTCTAGTAAGTGGTAATTCTGCCTTTTGAACACGTCCTCCCCACAGAGTGTTTCTTTTTCTGCCAATTCTCTCATCTTGACAACCAGATGGCCCAACCTTCTCATGTCATTCATAATTATCGACTTTTCTCTTCTTATGGACTTCGCCCACAGTTTTTTGCCAACTTCTTTTATCATGGTATCTTCTCTACAAACCTCTCCAATGGCATCACTTCTAAAACGATCAAGAACTGTAACTTGAAATTTCTGATCCTCACTGTTGGAAGTATTTTTCAGGGATTTGGCAGGCACTGAACACACCTTAACAATGGCTGTACTATGACAGATTTGTTTGTGCTGCCATATTCGTGTCTGACTATAAAAGCCGCGGCACTCTCCACACATCACAGTGTCTGCAGAACCCTGTTGTCTTTCCCTAATTAAAGGGTGTGATGGTTCGCCTGGCTTCTTTGAGCAGTTGGACTTGATTCTCTTCATGTTTTCCTGAAAAATCCCATCTTTTTTTATTTGTGCCATGGCCTTCAACATTTCTCCCCTAGGGAGTTCCAGTGCAAGCTTTACTTCATGCTCCTCCCTGTGCTTTCTTTTGAGATGGCGGCTGAGTTGGGCCTGTGGTTCTCCACAGTATAGGCATGGACGTTTGGGCCGAAATTTTGGTACTTTTCGTTGTTCTTCAACCTACATGAATAACAGCAAACAGTAAAAGGTGCTCATTGAGTTCTTGAAAATAAAAACTGGTACAAGTTTGTGACATTGTGGCATCATCATTGCAATGGAACATACAATGTACATGTGTACACTTGCATGTGGATGAAGTCAATGCTCCTGGTGAGCTTTCAATTTTAAATGTATATGTATATTAAAGTGGCACATGGCCTAATATTTCCTTAGATTAAGTTGTATCCTTCGGTTTCATTGAGGGAAATTTTTCTACAAGGATACTGGCAATGATACAAAGTAATGGTTTAAATCCTTTTTCCATTTCATTCCAAACATTTTACTGTCCAAAATTTGACTTAGGTACATGCATATGCATGCATGCATCCTTTAGTACACATATTTCAGTCACATACCACTTTTGCACTGCACAGAAATGACACTGTATAATCATTCCAAACTGCAAAGAACAGTTTATATACATGTGCATCACCGGCTGCACATGAACTGACGTGTCATGGACAGTTGGTGCACCATAAACTGTCATCGTGTGTACAAAGTCTTAATACATGTACATCACTTCATGGTACACGAAAAACACACCTGTACACTTCGTGATGCAGCCAGTGACAAGTATACGTTTTTCTTATAGTTGCTTACATGTACATGTACATGCTCAACTATTAGCTTAAACATGTAAAACTACTGGTAAGTTGAACCTTTTCTTTGTCAGCATGGATGAAACTTAGTAAATCAGTGCGCACCAAACAAAACTGGGTTATTGTTCAAGCAAATTAAGGGAGAATAAAAGACAATACATACTTAAATTATTACCCGAGTACCTGTACTAATGCACACTCTACTAACAACAAACACATAAGTTTAATGATGCATGCATGCTAATTTACTATTATTTTTTCTATAATTTAATAATCACACATGCATGCATACGTGGTATAAGCTATTTCTCAAGTATTTGTCACTTTTGTCTTCAGAAAAGCAACTAAAATTGTCACAGGCATGTTGGCTGAATTCTAAGCTACGGAATAAAAACATCACTTGTATGCTGTTGAAGATGTACATGTGGATCTTTTTTGTTTGTGGATTTTAAGAGGGTCGAGCCTGCTGATAATGTGCACATGTAGGCCTACAAGTGCTAGGTTCATAGGATTATAAAGCAAAATAGTGAACTCTTTTCTTCATGTCGAGCTGGTTTACAGGATGTCTATATGTACATCTGACTCGAAACAATTAACAGCTTATGATCCCAGTCACGCCAGTAGGTAAATTGCAATCTTAAAATGGATTTGTCTTCAGATAGAACTACGCAACAAATGAAAAAGGCACAATGCCATGATTAAGCTTTCAGCCCTTCGCCTTTTCCAGAATACCAAAATCCCAGTCTCGGCAAATAAAATACATTGATGGCTGATATTTACCAAAATTCTCTTAAACTTTCCCAGTCACTGCATGGGTATGTCTAGTTTCAAGTCAAGTAAACACAAGCAGTGGCTTTTGAGTGGAACTGCAAATTAAGGATCGGCTTTTTTATATTCCCCCAGTGCTGTCTCATTCGCTGTAGATAGCTCCTCGGGTGTACATGTATGCTGTATAAAATACTCTTGAAACATGCAAAGCTCTGTCAGAATTAATTTTCCATTTATGAATGGCATAAATTTGTCCCTTGCAGCGGTATAGCCATCAGAAAAAGATAACATAAGTGTCGGTCTCCTAAAAGTTCAATTTAATTCTTAAAATATTGAAATATTTACTTAGAAACACCAGGTAGTTTTTAGACAAGTCTTATACGGAGTGCACCCGGTTTTAAATGACCACATGCGGAACTTTTTCCCAAACTATTTTCAAGATATGATGTCTTTCCTCCTTTTCCTTTGCTGGTTTATTGGTCCAATGATGATCGAGGAATCTCACCTACTCAGACAAAATGCAACGCGTATGCCCCTGGAAAAAAATACAGCATTTCCTTGATATTCTTGGGACACCATGTTTATACATCATGTACATGTAAGTTATTTTGGTGGTTTGTAATTCAAGTTGTGTATACTGTAAATTGCATCCATATTTTTTTTGGAGGCGGGGTTTTTGGCTGATTCTTTTTTCTTCTGACAAAAGGGGAAATTTTAATTGTACTAAAAGAAAAAAGTCCTTTGTCTTACTATGTTAAAATGTTTCTCTTGGAAATTCACTTTTCACACTAAGTTTTGCACTCTTGTGAATGCTTAAAAATATGTGAAATAGTAGAAATAAATGAAAAAAACGTGATAAACCTGTATCTACACTGCACACGAACAAAAAGAAATTTTACCAACAAAAAGCTTGGTAAATACTGGTAACTACATGTACAAGCAAAACTTACGTCAGCCTCTTCATCTCCACTGCCGTCATCACAATTGCTGAAATTTGCAGGATCTTTAAACATCAAGACGAAAAGAAATTGCTCAATTTTCTATTCAAATTTGAAAGTAAAGGCCTATTCAAGAGGTTGTTTGCATGTTGTAGTATTTAACATTGGAAATGAACGACTGAGTGGAGGTCAATCTGTGATCTATGATATCATCAAGTACATGTGTATGGAGTGCGTATGACACAATATTACAACCCTTTCCACCTTGCTTGCTGAAAGTCCAAAAACTGAATTAAAGTTTTGCAATGGAGTACTGGGCCATAATTCAAACAAGTGTGTTTATAAAGAAGCATTAAACTGAGAAAGTATGGGTTCTATCACATGTAATACTTCCTGTGTCAGAGCCTTTCTTTGGTTTTGTCTTTTTGTGTCAGCCGTTATAGAAACAAACTTTTTATAACATTACGAGGGAGATTGTTTCCTTCTCAATCTCAATCAACTTCAATCTCAATCAACTTTTAGATTTAGCAACACAACTTTCTTACAAGCAATTTAACAAAAGAAAGCCACTGTTTTTTTATTCTTTGCAATTTATCAAGAGAAAAGCATTGTTTTGGGATACTTTCCTTTCCTCCTTTTTTGTTTTGACTGAGAGGATAATTGTGAGTGAAATAACTACTTTGCATAATTTTAACATGTTTCAAAAAATGAAAACAATGAAGCCAAACTGTATGGATAAAGGGTGACAACAATTTTGATGATAACCAAAAAAAAATTAGAGTCTGGATAACAGCATAAGTGTTCCTTATTTCTGTTCATGCTGTCAGAGTTGTGTCCTGATTTATGAAACAAAGTCACGTGGGTGTGGGGGTGGCTGACAATTGCGAGGTGGATTGCGACGGGGCTGGTTTGGCTGGGGTGGTGTACATGTATCCTGAGAGGGGGTGACAATGCCACTTTCATCATCACTGTCAGGGTGTTGTGGAAGCGGTCCTGTGTATTTCTTGAAGTAGGATGAGTTGCGTGTGATCGTGTGCGTGCTGCGTTGGGCTGTGATTAGGGATCCATGCTTGCTCGTCACAGTGTAGGGCTGCGGGATGTACGGTGACATGTGTTTGGGGACATGTCCATGACGACGGACGAGAACATGGTCACCAATGTCAATGTCTTTGACTCGAGTAGTACGGCAATTGTCGGCATAGGTTTTCATCTGGGACTTCTTGTGTTGGTCGCGTTCTTGGACAGGGGTATGTTGTGGCAACGGAGTGAACTCTGGTTCAGGTAAGCGTGTTTGGAATGATCTGCTGAAAAGAAGTTTGGCAGGTGAAACACCGGTTGTGGAATGTGGTGTGGCACGGTAGTTGTGAAGAAATTTATACAGCTCCTGTTTCCATGGTTTGCCTTCGGTGAATGCAGAGCGGTATGCTTTTTTGAGAGTTTTCATGAAGAGCTCGACTTCACCGTTTGCTTGGGGCCAACGAGGGGTAACTTGACGATGCTCGAATCCAAGATATTGGGCGAAGCTGGAAAATTCGCGAGTGTTGAGGGGCGGACCATTGTCAGTGCGGACGATGTTTGGGATACCTAAACTGGAAAAGATGCGATCAAGCTTGGGGATCACCTGCTGGACTGATGTTGATGACACAATTTCTACTTCTGGGAAGCGTGAATAGTCATCTATGACTAACAGCAAATGTTCTCCAGAGGGCAGATCAGCAAAATCAATACTGATCTCTGACCATGCTCTGGTTGGGAGGGGTGACATCTTGAGTGGTTCTTTGGTGTGTTCAATTGTGTTTGCTTGGCAGGGGAGACATTCCCGGATTGTTGCGTTAGCTATGCGATCAATGGACGGAAACCAGACTTTTTCGCGGAGGAGGGCTTTTGTTTTGGTGATGCCCTGGTGTCCTTCCTGCGCTATGTCTACGATTCACTTACGGAGTGTTTGGGGTATGACAAGGCGATGGTCGCGCATGAGGAGTTTGCAATCTTGAGACACTGTGAGTTCGTCAGGTACACTGTGGAAACTGGTCAGCTCAGTTTTCTGTTCTTTGTCTGCGTTAGCTCATCCCAGTTACTGTGTTCGACAGCTGTCATGCAGAGTTGGAGAGCCGGATCGCGGGTAGTAGCATCAGCGATTTCAGCGCGAGTGACATGTTTCGGCACTGAGTGATCGGCTATGAAGTTGACGTGTGCTTCAGCGATTGTTTGTTTGCTTGAAGGAGACTGGCTCACTCTCTGCGGGTGTCTGGACATATAATCAGCTGGGTTGTGTTTGCCGGGACGATACACAACTGAGTAGTTATAGGCCTGAAGTTTCAAAATCCATCGCTCGAGACGGAGGGGAGGCTTGGAGTTGCAACTGTTGAACAATGTCACTAAGGGCTTGTGATCGGTGATGACCTCAAATGAACCACCATACAAGTACAGGTGAAAGTGGGTGACTGCCCACATTATGGCTAGTGCCTCGCGTTCAGTTTGTGAGTACCTTTGTTCAACTGGGGTGAGGGCTCTGCTGGCAAGAGCTACAACGGATGTGTTGTTGCAAAAGTCACGTTGTGTGAGCATGGCACCCAATCCCACCGGACTAGCGTCAACAAGTAGTTCAGTTTTGTTAGAGGAATTGAAGTATGCCATAGTGCAGCATTCAGTTACGCGTTGCTTGATGAGTTGAGGTCAATCCGTGACCTCTTATATCATCAAGTACATGTGTATGGAGTGCCTATGACAAAATATTACACATGTCTACTAATTACATCTCTAAGAAACACTGCCTATAATTATCAAATAAAATGGCAGGGTACAGGTCTCACGTTGGTCCAACGGCCAGTGAAAAATTGATCTGGACATTGTTTATATGTTCCACTTATAATTGGCCACCAAAGCCATGTTTACACTGGATTTTTTCCCAAGGAGTTTTACCAAGCAGATGGTAAAATGAAAAATATAGTCAAAAGTGACCCTGTTGACACTTTAACTACCAACATAGGCATGTTTTATTGAGAACAGATTAGGTACTGATAGTATGTTCTTTGCATGAGCAATTATATTTGTTATGGTCTTTATAGCCATGATGTGATTTATCTTCATTCTGGAAATCAATTTCATCACTTCTAACAACCATAGGCCTATGACAAAACAAAAACAATTTTGACAGTGGTTTATATACACATACCCACAACTGAGTCCACAGAACCGGAGCAAGTCTCAGTAGCAACATCTCGAGAACAGATTTCTGCATGGGTAAGAGCAGCAGCAGGGTTTCTGGAGAAAGCCTCAACTGGAGCACCTTGACAGCGGGTCTTAGTGGCAGATGTGATAGCTTCATTGACAGCATCTGCAAAGTAGGACTCAACGGGTCTTGTGGAAGCCTTAGGGGGGTCATGACAGCCCTGATGGACTCCTTTTTGTGTTAAAAATCCTGAAGAAAAGAATTGCAAAAGAATAGAATGATGTGACTATAGACACTAGTTGGAAATTTTTGTACTTAAGTATGTAAATCCTGGCACAGACACAGACTAACCAATTTTTTAACCAGTCCTTGTTCGGGTAAGCTTTCGTGTGCAGCATAATTACGTGTATACGATTCCTCAGTTTCAACCTGTAGGCAACCAATTGAGTTCCACAAATAACTTTCATCCCAAGAGTGCATGGTAGCAGAAAACTGACGGATATAGCAATTAACCTTGTCTGCGAGACTTAATATTGCCACAGAAATTGCATTAATTCAATATGTACAAGTACGTACTGTTCATGGGTTGGCTGTGCACAGAATGTTAATTTCCAAACGTACACATTTGCATGCATTAGCGGTACCATACACTGAAACCTGCATATTGAGCTACGGTGTAGTTGATCTACTTCTCTTTGGAGGCACTTGTACGTACACATCTGGATTTGTCGAACTAAGACAGGAAGGCTTTCAAAGAAACCTACTGGCTCTGTCAATTTTATATTACAGGTACTTGTAGCTTTTAAACTTGTCTTCCTTCCTTGAAATGCACCAACAGCAATAGTAGTATTTTACATTTTTCAATACACAAGAAATCAAATCATAGATAAAGCCTTTTGTCCTGACCATCTGAAATATGTAGTAAAAATAATACCTTCCACTGGGTCAACAGAAGCAGAATTTTCTGAGTCCACATCAGAGAGCACACCCCTGGAATCACTGTCAGACAGCATTTCCTCTGAGATTTCCTCTGAGTTACCGTTAGAGAGCTCTTCTCTGGAGCTACTCTCACAGGACAAACTCCCAGACTCACTATCAGAGGGCACATCCTTGGAGTCTCCAGACAGCATTTTTACATCCCTTGTATCGTCATCACGTAACACAACATCCCTGTATGACTTTTTGCAATCCTCACTGGGATCATCCCCAGAGTGGTCCTTAGCAGCAGCAGTTATTGAGTGGGAATCACTGACATTTCTGGAACTGGTCACAATGGAAGTATTTCTACAATAGGCATGATAGGGCTCAGCAGCTGCGCCATTCCTGGGCCGAGCTTCATTTGGAGCATCTTGACAATAGGCTTTGGCACTGGCATCTCCAGATTGGCCATCAACTGCAACATTTCTGGAGCAGGCCTCAATTGGAGCATCTCCAAGGTGGGACTCCGCAGCAGCATCTCCGGAGTGGGTCTCGTTTGGATAATCGTGGCAATAGGCCTTGGCTCCAGCATCTCCAGATTGACCATCATCTGCAGGATTTCTGGAGCAGGCCTTAATTGGAGTATCTTCAGACTGGGCCTTAGCGGCGGTATTTCTAGAATGGGCCTCTGCTGGAGCACCTCCACAGTTGACCGCAATTGTAACACCTCCAGAGTATGCCTCAGTTAGAGCATTTCCAGAATGAGCTATAGCTGGAAAATCTCCAGAATGGTCCTCAATTGCAGCATATCCAGACTGACCCTCAGGTGCAGTACGCGTATCTCCACAACAGTCCTCAGTGGTGGCATCCGTAGAATGGGTCTGGGCAGGTACTGGTAGCTATAGCCAACAAGGGTAAGGGTAAATGGTAAGGGTGAGGCATTTCACATTTAGACGTGTGAAAAAAGTTCCTATCAGTTTACAGATCTTCCCAAACGTTTTTACACAGAATCACCCCTTATTAGCTATTTGACGGTGTGGCATTTTGATTGATGCAGTCTTGCATTCATTTTTATTGTACACGGTGCCTGTAAAATGTAATCTGATTTTCGTAACATTTACTGCTTGGTCACATATAGGAAAACCATGAATTTACCACCGGAACTTTGTGTAAGTTTTTTACATTATATACAATTGATTGTGTTTAAATTTTCAATGACACAGTTGTACCAACGTGTCTGCTAAATCTGCTATTCTGAATAAAAAATACTGCATTTTGTGTCTTGTATTTTAATGTATGACTCTTTAATGTTTTTATATACACTATATAATTATGCATTTTTGAAAGCATCACGGTACGTGGAGCAACTGGAAGTGTGGGCTAAATTATGTTTAAACATTTAATGGTGTAATAATACTGGTAACAATTACATTTATATAGTGTCACTTTAAATTTGATTATCAGTGGTGCTTTACAACATTAAAACATGCGAGAAGAAAATACAAGATCAAAAGTAAATGATAAAATACACGTCAAAACTCTGCCCAAGGCTACCAAATGATCAGAACAAAGTCAGTGAAAAATTTGCTTAAGTCAGTTACACAATTGCATTTACAATATCAAAACATACACAGAAAATGAATAATTCAGGCGATTCACAAGCGCGCCTCCAAGAAGCCAAACACACATTGGGTCAACAGGTTTTGCACATTTTGATTGGCAACGCACTACCAAACTCTTGGAGGCACTCTATTGTGAAATGCCTGTTGTAAAGAATGGACAAAAATACACATTACAACTTTAGCAGAACGTAGCAAAGGGTTCTTTAAAAAGATGGGTTTTGAGATGTGTCTAAAAATCGGTGAAAGCTTGTCTTAATTGACACCAGCAATTTGTTCCAAAGCTGAGGGGTAC